TCTCAACTATAAAACATGCATAATAATACCTTCCACAGATAGTACAGAGGATCAGTTTACTTTTCAAATGTTGGGGTGGGAAGATCTCCATACAAGGCACTGTTGTAGACTCATGAAGATAAGATACCTCCCTTCAAGTCACTTACAGTTGGTGAGAAAGATAGGCATACAAGCAGCTAGTTATAACATAAGGCAGAATGTCCACTACGTTAAAGGCAAGAAGAAGTAATGTGCCATAGAAGTCCAAGTGAAGACATGGCTCATGGAGGGGCAGAACAGGGGAATCCACAAAAATGTCATCGATAAGGTGGTGAGGTCTAGACCCCCATTGTTAAAAGATGAGGAGATGGCAGAAGATGTTTCCAGATGAGAGGGCAACCCAAAGACTACACAGGTGACCCACACATTACCAATCCCACGTGGAACAAGCTCTCTAAGTGTAAAAGAACAAGAAGAAATCACCAAGGAAAATGCAGATAGGTTTGGATTACATACAAATTGAAAACTCCTTTATATCAAGATACGTTATAAACAGAACGAAAATACACGTAAAATACTAGGGAAAATTGTCAAAAATGTAGTAGTTTCACATCTTTATTAATAACTTCATACAATTAATAGGAAAACATGAAGGACCTAATAGATAAATTGGCAAAAGGAAGTGGGCAAATCTTTAAAAGTCAAAGTAAAATAAAGCTAGTAACATATGAAAAAGTACTCAGCTTCACTAACTGCCCAAGAAATACAAAATAAAACAGCCTGGAAATACTTTTAGTTAAAAATAAAAATCGTGATAATATTCAGGGTTGGCCAGGATGTAGTAAGAGGGGCACACATGTATGAACACAGCTGGTGGGAGTGTAAATTGGATTAATTTCTAGAAAGCAATTAGGCAATATGTATCAAGGACCTTTAAAATGTTTATACCCTTTGATTCAGTAATTCCACTTCTGGGAATCTATCCTATGAAAATAATCTGAAATGCCCGGAAAGGTTTATGCTCAAAGATGGTTTAAAGAGTTTTTGTAAACAGTCTAACAATCCAATCATTGAAGATTGTTTAAATAAATGATGGTACATATCACGCTGTATTGTAGCCATTAAAAAGTAGTCTTCTGGGGAATTTTTAAACCCTTGGAAAAGCTTGTGATATCACCTTAATTATTTTAAGGCACATGTACATATGACACAACTATACACGCTTTTAAAGTGTAGGCCAAAAAAACTGAAGAGAAATCTTCCACGATGTTAAAAATGATGGCCTCTGGATAGTGGGATTCTGGGCATTGTTTTTGTTTATTTTTACCCTGCTTTCGAACTTTAGACAATAGGCATATATTTTTAGAGTGAAGGAAAGTAAAAGAAACTGTAAGACATATTTGGGGAATGACAAGTCATTGGTGTGTGAAACACGCACATGTTCATGAAAACACAGTGAGGAACAAGGCCTAATTGTAAGGTATAAATAAAACACAACACAGCTGCCATTTGTTCCATAGGTTGAGGAAGACTTTACAGGTTTTTTATTTTACTACGTTTTCTTCAGTAGGGCTGAGAGCAAGGGCCATAAGGTCCTAAATGTATTTAATGATCACGTATAAGGCATAGGAAAAAATGCTTTGGAAACCAGAAATCACCAAGCAAAGGTAAAGGAGAATTTTTCTTATTATCCAAAACACCTTTGCGCTGAAGGAGGGCCAGAGGGAACAGCCGGTGTCAATGGGCAAGCGGGGCCAGGCAGCTGGGGTGGACACACCAGTCTGGCCCTCATAGCCGCCCCCCGCTGGAGGCCACTTGCCTGCCTCTCCCCTCCCCCTCAGTTAATTGGAAACTTCCCCCTGTTAAGTGGAAATAATAGAGCTACCCTGTTACAAGGTTTAGTGAGCAGGCAGGTAAAGGGCCTGATGCTGTGCTTGACAGTGTAGCAGGTATGCCGTATGTGATGCCAGGTGTCCTTGCCTTGATCTTGATCTTGATCTTGACTGCTAGGACGAAGTCCCCCCCATGCCCAGCAAAGCCCCCCCCCCCCCCAATCCCCCATCCCCCCCCCTACCCCCGCCGCAGTCAGTGCTCCAGGGAGGACGCCCCTCCTCCCACTCTGCAGCGGGAGAACAGTGCCTTCCAGGGGCCAGCACCAGTTCCTTAGAAGCATTTTATTTCCCAGCTTCCAAGAAGGCATGACTGACAGGTAGAGAATTGATCCACAAAATTAAAGCCATAAAATGAATTTGACACTTTACTTTTGAGAACGAGCGTTGTCTCTCTGCGCTTTGATCCTGTGTGCTGAGTGTTTGGAACAGGGAGGCGGTGGGGTGAGTTTTCATTTGCATTTCCCTGCACTTGGCATTGATAAGGGGTTTGGAGAAAACATTGTCTTGGGCTGTCTTGAGGAACAGGGCTGGACGGGGGTGCGTTTTTCCTTCTGTGTGAGGAAGAAAGGGACAGAGGTGACTAGTCCAGGGAACCACAGAGACCAAGTCACAACACCAGGTCAAGAACTGAGAAGATGATCTGAAGCTACACTGGGTCCGGACGACCAGGGCCGCAGCTGCCTTAGTCTTTGATTTTAGCTGGAGTCAGGTTGGGACGGGGTGTTAGTTTCCTGTGGCTGCTGTAACAAACTACCACAAATTTGGCAGCTTAAAACAACACACAGTTATTCTCTGAGCGTTCTGAAGGCTGCAAGTCCCAAGTCAGTTTCACTGGCCTAGGGCATGTTGTGGGCAGGGCTGGCTCCTTCTGGAGGCTAAAGGGGGAATCTGCCTCCTTGCCTTTTCTGGCTTCTAGAGGCCGCCCGCATTCCTTGGCTCGTGACTCTTTCCTCATATTACTCCAGACTCCTGCTTCCATCATCACATCTCCTGTTTCTTACTTTGACTTTCCTCCTTCCCTCTTATAACCCAAGATAATCTTCTCATCTAAAGACCCTCACCTTAATCACATCAGTAAAGCCCATTTTACCACAAAAAGTAACATGTTCGCAGGATTAGGGTGTGGCTATTCGGGGGGCGGGGGGTGCGGGGGCGCTTTTATTCAGCCTACCACAGACAGGTAACCCAATGCACAGGCTTTCCATGAACCCTCTTAGGGGCAGGCACTGGCCAGGGCTAGGGAACACACAGAGGCTCAAACCACTTGCTGAATTCCATGAGAACATGTACATGAGTTCTGGAACGAGGTTACATGGAACCAACGCCAGACAAGACTGGAGCACAGGGGTTGTGGGGAGAGAAACAGACAAGTGAGACAGGAGAGGAAATTGGGGCCCAAATCACAGAGCACCTTGAAGAGCAGGTTAAAGAGTTTGCATGTGATTCCCTGAAGGAAGCAGGGCCTGCGCTTCCCGTGCCTGGGAGTCACAGAGAATGCGCAGCCAGGCTGGAGGCCCGTCTGACAATGTTGTGTGGCCATCTGCCCACAGCTGACAAATTGAGCCTCATCTGGACCAGCCTGTGAACGAGGGCCCAAGGCCACCTCCAGTGCCCTCTTTCCGTGAGATGGAGAAGGCAGCTTTGCAGTCTGACAGGCTGGGTCTGAATCCTACTTACTAGCTGTGTGACCTTAGGCAAGTCACTTAACCTCTCTGACTCAGTTTCCCACTTAGGAAATGGTCACTGTTAAGACTTGCCTAGCTTCTTTACAAGGCCAGATGTGCTGAGCTACACAGAGGGATTCTAGAAGTAAACAGGCTGGACTTGATGTTAGTTTCAGTGCTCCTGGCAACAGTCCAATGAACCAAAAAATTCATGGAATTTTAGATATTAAATCACCTAACCTGGAGCGTCCCACCTCACAATCAGCTGGGAGGTTTGATTACAGTAAAATTTAGTAGAGGGGAGTCTAATTTCACTGCCAGGTTTAGAGAAGCCCACCCCTTATGTGAGGCTCAGAGAGACTGTGAGACTTGTCCAAGTGGGGGTCCTGGTTTATCCTCCCCACCACCCAGCATTGAGGTGGGTGGGATGGGGGTGGGGAGACTGTTGAGGTACCAGCTACCATCAGGATGGAACAAGAAAAGAGAACAGAGTGCAAGGCAGCCAGACTTGGGGGGTCGACCCAGGTGGGCCCTGCCTGCTCATCTCCACAGGAGCCAGAGGCTCCCTCATCCCATATGATCCAAGAGCTGGGTGGCAGGAGGCACATTCAGAAGCACCAGCCAGGCCCTTGCTAGGTGGTCCCCAGACAAAGTCCCCCATACAGTAGGGCAGGCTAGGCCAGGCCAGCCTTCTCCCGGAATCCTGGCTCTCTGGGGTCACAGGTTAATTAATTATCAGAATGCATTGTTCTTGATACAGAAAGGAATAACTGCTGATATGTTCGTTATAAACTGCCCCCTCTCCCTTCATTCACTGGGTAATATGAGTTACCTAAGAATTTCAGAACTGGAATGGACCTTAGAAATATCACCACAATCCCTCCTTTTGTAGACAGGGAGACAGGGGGCCAGACAGAGCAGGGACAGGGTCAGCATCACACAGCCAGTCATGGAGGAGCTGGTCCAGGGCCCAGGGCCCTGGCTTTCACAATGGTGTTCTTCGCATTCCACGACAGAAAGTACTGCATGTTTCTAGAATCACTCCAGTGGCAGAATCTGGGATCAAGAACATGGGGGAGACACACGGAACCGCATATGCCCCAAATTCAACTTTGAGGGTAGAGCTGTCTGTATGCAGATGAGACTCCACCTGCAGGCTGTCCATCTAGCACATTGAAGCCATGGCTTTGAGGATGCCAGAGTATTGCGGGAACATGGACCAAACCTTGGGCCACTCTGCTACTCAACATCACTAGAAAGTGAGACTCCCAGGAGACTGGGGGTGTTAGGGGCTTTGACTTCCTCTCAGCTTCCTGGTGTGTGTCCTAGGTGTGGCCAGACTGAGATGCAGGTGGCTCAGTCAGCCTTTGGATGTGACTGGCAGGACAGAGTGATGCTCTCCCTGCAGCCTTCCCACAGGGCCACCCAAACTGACCAGGGCCATGTGTTTCTGTGTGCTCTCCAGGAACGTCCCCAGGCTCCAAGATGGCCTTGCAGAGTTCCTTCACTTGCTGGAACGGGACAGTCCTCCAGCTTGGGCAGGCCTGCGACTTCCACCGGGACTGCAACCAGGGAGAAGACGAGGGTCAGCTGTGCAGTGAGTAGATGGGGGCTTCCCCCCGCAACCCTACCCTCTATGCCCATATCCCCTTCCTGCCCTCATCACCCCAGGCACTGGAGCTTGGACAGCCTTCATTATGCCCAATGTCACTTGTGTCCTCTCAGTGGCAACTTTAAAAAGCTACGCAGTCTTCAAGAGACAGAGTTAAGATCTATGCTCTAGAAACAGCATATAAGTTGAGAATCAAGCAAATCTCGCAAGCTATGCTCTCAGCATCCTCATGGCACAGAGTGAATGTGCAAGCTAAAGCTCAGCTCTGTAACACGGCGTTAGGAGCCCTCAACGCCCATTCTTCCCTCACTTTTCCAGTTTTATCTTTCATCACCCACCTGCCTCTCTTGTCCTCCCAGTCTTCCATGGAGTCCAGCTCCAGCCATATCAAACCATTCTCAGCTCCCTCATGCCTCCATGGCTTTGCTCGTGCCACCATCCCTTGCCCAAAATGCTCTCTCCCTTCTAGAGTCACATTTGTTCCTCCAAGACTCATCTCAAGAGTCAGTTCTTCTGGGAAGTCTCCTCTGACCATCCCCCACAAGCACAGTTGGTTCTTCTTCCTCTGGACCCCCCATAACATCCATTATTTTTTATTAACAGCTTTTTGAGATATAATTCATATACCATATGGTTCACCCATTTAAAGTATACAATTCAGTGTTTTTGAGCATAGTCACAGGGTTGTGCAAACATCACCGCAATCTAACTTTAGATCAATTTTATCATCGCCAAAAGAAACCCCTAGCAATCTCTTGTCATTTCCCTCAGGCCCTCCCCCACATCCCCACCCCCACTAGCCCTAAGCAACCACTAATCTTCTTTCTGTTTCTACAGATTTACTTATGTGGGCTGCTGGGCATTTCATATAAATGGAATCATACAAAATGTAGTCTTTTATAATTAACATCTTTCACTTAGCGTGACGTTTTCAAGGTCCATCTGTGTTGCAGCATGTGTCAGTACTTCATTCCTTTGTATCATCAAATCATATTTCTTTGTATGGATATAACATATTTTGTTTATCCATTCATCGATTGATGGGCATTTGAGTTGTTTCCACTTTTTGGCTATTATGAATAATGCTGCTGTGAACATTTGTGTACAAGTTTTTGTGTGGACATATGTTTTCATTTCTCTTGAGTATATACTTAGGAGTAGAATTGCTGGATCATACGCTAACTCTAAATTTAACATTTTGCGGAACTTCCAAACTGTTTTCCAAAGTGACTGTACATCTTACATCCCCACCAGTAATGGATAAGGATTCCACTTGCTCCACATTCTCATCAATACTTATTATTATTTGTCTTTTTACTTTAGCCATCCTAGGGGGTGTGCATCCATTACATTTTATGGAGATGGTTTCCATGTGTCTCTCCCTCTCTGTGGACAGACTGGGTCTGGTACTCTTCCTCACATCAATATCTTCCCCCAGTCAATATCTCAAATGATTCCTGGCACAGTGTAGTGCTCACTGACTCTTTGTTGATTAAAATGGGTAAGTGAGGAGGGAAACTCGGCCTCTGTGGAGGAAAACAAATTGCTGAGGTCTCCCTGGTGGATAGGGGCAGAGTCAGACTCCTAGCCCAGTGCTCCCACCATTGAAGACAATGTTCCAGCAGCTGCCTGGCCAGGAGGAAACACTCAAAGGTTTTACATTTTTGTCAGGTAAACCACACACTTACAGAACACATATAATGTGAGCTAGAAAACATGCTAGATCCTGGAGCAGAGACGAAGAACACAGCACCTGCCCTCAAGATGCTGAAAATCCAGCGCAGGGGCGGGGAGTGAAACGAGGGAGCTGCAACTGGGCCAGGAAACAGCAGAGGCGCCTGGGGTGCCGTGAGGCCAGACACGGGGGCAAGTGCCTCATCCCACAGACACACTGGCCCCAAGACCCCATGGCCTGCAAGATAATTCTACCAAGTTAACAGTGTCCCCCAGGTCATCTGGAGGACAGATTAGCCCTTGGGGGGAAAAAGTGTTTATTCATTCTCTTTTAAATAAAGCAATAAAAAAATCCATTTGTCAATTTGAAAAACTTCCTTTTTATACAAAAGTTTCCAGGAAAGTTTTCCGATAATGAGGGAATTGTGGTTGTTTGGATAAAAGTGAGTAAGGAGCTGCAGGTAAGCCCTGTGCTTATCCCACACTGTCTTGCTCCTGGCCTTTCTCAGAGAGCTCTTCCTGTACACTTGGGCCAAAATGAATCCAGCCTGCACATGTTGCCCAGGCAGGGGCCTGTGTGTGTCTCTGTAGTTATTTGTGTCTGCCGTATTTCCAGCAGTGCCTCTGAGCTATGTGATTTTGCTTTTGCCTTTTTAAAGTTTTCTAATACCCACTTCCCAGCTGGGACACAGGTCAGACAGGCCACGCCCTAATTTACAATAGGGAAAATAAAAGCACAGAGAAGGTAATTGACTTGTTCAGGGTCACACAGCATGTCAGGAACAGAGCCGTGATTAGATCATTGAGCCTGCAGGATGCAGCCCATTACTGTGGGCTCAGGGCATTTTCCCACCACTCTGGGCTTGCCATTAACAGGTTTCCAGGGCCAACTCCAAGCTTGAGGGCAGGCTGGCTCTGGCACAGAGGGCAGGCACCTGGGGCCCATGGCCTTTCCAGCCACACTTGAAAGGCTGTTTGGACTAACTGTCAGAATGACAGCTCCACACTGGAGAAAATAACCCCACTGTGTTGAACACAAATCAGTTGCTGGGAAGAGAAGTTCAATTCAGAAGGAGAGTTATTCTGATCTTGTCCTTCTGATCTTGGCAGTACTCTTAGCAAACACACTTTTCCATATTTGTGTGCCCATTTCTCTCTGGCATTTTTGCTGTTTTCCCTGTCACAGTGACTGATGTTGATTCTGGAAATCATCCCCAAGAAGAGAAGAACAACAACAATGATAATAATACTGGCTAACATTTATTGAGCATTTACTGTGTGGCAGGAGCTGCTGCAAACCCTGTTCCTGTATTAACTTACTTCATCCTCACAGCTGTCCTAGGTGATGCTCTTAGACCCATTGTAGAGATGAGGAACCTGAAATCCGTGGTCGAACTGCTAGCCAGTGGCTGAGCAGTGATTCAGACTCAGTCTGACTCCAAAGCCCACGCTCTGAACAACTGCAGGCCAGACTCATTTGTTTTATGAGTTTCCAGTGGTTGGTTGTGCCAGGCACAACCCTAGCTATATATCTACCCAGGGAGAAGGAGCCAGGAAAAGTCAGGGAAGAGCCAGGGCTCTGCCACCACCTTTCTTGGGTGGGGGTTTCGGAAGCAGATTATTTGTCTCCACCCTCTGGGCCTGAGTTTCCTCATCTATGAGTTGGAAGATGATACCCACTGATGTGTTGATGATGTGTTGATGACCATGATGCATTTAGGACAATGCTCTTGACCTCACCTGGTCCTTCCCAACTAGTCTGGAACCTGGTAGAATGTTTTCTCTGAGCAGGCAGTCACCCCAAGCCCTGTTTGGGATATCCAGTCTTCTAAGGAACCCCAGTGAGGGTCACTAATCTTGGGCCAGGATAGTCAACCAAGCCCTGGCATGGTGGGAAAGAGTAGGATGTATCATGTCAACTCCAAGCCTCAACTCCCCACACCTGCCCCAGAGGGAATTCCCCACACTCTCTGGAACTTCACTGAGATTATCAGACTCAACCTGGAGCAATGTTTCTGGCCGGGGCAAGTGGGTGGCCTGAAATGGAAGTGACAGTGCCCTTGCCCTTCTCCATCCAGTCCTGAATGTGTCCATGCACAACCCATCCTCCCAAACCCACACAGCACACACCATCCTCCCTCCCTCTCTGACGCAGCCACACTGCATTTCCAGTTAAGCACTGCCAATCTCGCTGAGACATCCCAGGTTGATGTAACCCATCGAAGGGTGGCTTTAAGATTCCCTGTGTGTTGAGCAACAGCTTCAGGGGCATGCAGGTCCCCAGGAAAGGGTCAGGTGTCTCCACTTCATCCCCCGGATGGGTCATTGACTCACTGGGTATTGTGGGCAGCTCGCTTCCCCTCCCTGAACTCAATAATCTCATTGGTTTGGTGAGGATACTCTTCCTGCCAGGCAGAAACAGTTTTTTAAAAGTTTATTGTAAAATAAAACATGTTAGTTGTAAAATACTTGGGAAATCTAGAAAAGTACTCAGGAGAAAATAACTATTGCCCATAATCCTTCCTCTCAGACATTCAGAGATAACCATAATATTTTGATGTATTTTTTCTAGCATTTTCTCCCTTGACTCTATATTTTCAAGGAAATGTATAACACATATTTATCAAAAATGTTAACAGAGTTGTCACACAGGAAGGAAAAGAAGTAGTGTCATTTGGCCTGGAGTTTATACTTGGCAGCTCCAGCGGCTGCTGCCGAGGTCACATTTCCATGACTCTACCAATTTGTCTCTCTTAGAGTGGAATCAGGTGTCATAATTGCCAAATGTTGCGGGATTGATTGACCCACACACAGCCCGATTTGGCCATCCAGCCAATGAAATAACTGGCTGCAGCCCAAGAAGAGAGTTGGTTAGAGCCGTGCTTATCAGATGTTAAGGTACATAAGAATCACCTGGAGAGCTTTAAAAATGTAGATTCTGACTCAATAGGTGGTAGCAGGATGAAGGACCCAAGAGTGTGCACTTCTAACAGTTTCACAGGTGATGCGGATGTAGTTGGTTCCTGGACCACATTTTGAGTGGCAAGGGGTTAGAGGACTGAACCCACTCCCATTTCATTCAGAAAATAAGTATTGAGGTCCTACCATGTACCAAGCACGGAGAAGGTGATGATCAAAGGAGTTGACATTAGACCCAACTCTGTGTACCAACGTGCTCAACAATTGATCCTAGCAGCAATTTCCCAAATCTGGCCTGATCCACCAAGAGTCTTTGTTCTAGCACTTACCCCACCAGCTTCCTCAGGACTGACTGGCTTTTTGCTGAGCACTGATGTGCTTACAATAGTGGAAATCCTCTCAGCAAGCCCCTCCCGCTGCAAAGGTTTTAGTTGTCACATGAATTGTCAGTTGACCTAACTATGTTGCCTACCTCCTCTCCCTTTATTCAACCAGCCAAAAAGAAAGGGGCTTCTAAACTCAGCTCACCCTGGATCCTATGCCAAGCTAGGACAACGATGGGCTTCCAGAAGGTGGAAAATGCCAATGGCTTTCCTCCTTCCTGTCCCGGTGGAAGGCATAGGCAGAGCTACTGCAGGCATTTCCAGAGAGGCAGCAGAGGGACCTGTCTCTGCACCTAGGGCAGTGTTGGCTGTTTCAGGCCATCCCCTGATGAATTCCCCTGCCCCAGATGTGAATGATAATTAACAATGCCACCACTGCTCTGTGTTTACTCAACTCTGTCTGTTTACAACGTGTTCCATGCTCTCTCTTATTTTCTCCTCAAAACAGCCCTGTGAAACAGACACTAACATTACCCCATTTTACAGATGAGGGAGCTGAGGCTCTGAGGAAACAAGTGACTTGCCCAAGATCACACAGCAGAAAGCGGTGAGGCTAGGACTAGAGCCCAGGCGTCTTGATTCCCTGCTGCTGAGGTACCAACACCCATAAGTCAGGCTAGGTTCTCTGCCTCCACCCCCTAAAAGGAAAGGAAAAGGAAGGGGTGATGTGCCATGCAGGCCTCAGCTCAGCCCTGCCCTCTCCTTCAACCAGGAGTCCATCACCTGCTGGAACCTTCCATCGGGGTCCCCGGTTTAAAGCACGCTCGTGAAGGACACTTCGTGGAAGGTCACTTCCAGCTTCCAGTTAGTTTTTGCAAAAGAAGTGGATGTGGGATCCCTTCAGGGGGGCATAAAAAATAAAACAGAAAGATCTTAGCTTTTGGATTTTTAATCAGAGGAACGTGCAGGGCTTGGGGGGAAAATGATTTCTTCAGGGGGGTATAAATGGGAAGAGATGCTCAAAGTCAGTGACAGCTGGTTTTAATTTATAATTCTGCCTCTGTGTGAAATGCACAGAGAATCAGGGGGAAATGAGTAATAATTCACTAAGGTGCTGTCACAGCCAGGAAGCATTAGGGCCCTCTTTGTCAGCCTGCTGCTGCCAAGAAGCCTGAGACAGAGGAAGGACATGGAGAGCGGTGGGTCCAGCTGGAGAACGCCTTTCCCCCAGCAGAGATGTGGCCCTGCGGCTCTCTACAGGCTGGCCGGGGCTGTGGGTGCCATCACAATAGCCTGGAGAGGCTGCGCCTTCCCAGCAGCCCTTCTCTGAGTAAGCTGGGGATGCGAGCTCTCCCCAACCCTCTTCTCCTTCCCTCCTCCTTCTGGGGGAAGTTGGGAAATATATGGTCCTTAAAGCTGACTGTGGCCTTTTCAGTGGGACCTGAGGTCAATCTAATGTAGAGAAAAGGATAACAGAGCCCTTTATGCTGAGCCAACAGATGATATAAAGAGGCCTCAGGGACTGGGATGGTTGGTCAGGATAGGCTGGGTTATGCTGCCCTAATAAGCCGTCCTAAAATTTCAAGGGCTTAACAAAACATTTACAGTACCTTTCCACTGAAAGTTGGGGTGGGAGGGGCCTCTGCTCCACAGGGTCTCTCAGCGACTCAGGCTGGCAGGGCCTCCACCATCATACAGCAGCACCCCCTGAAATGAGAACTCCCCTTGGCCCCTTCAGCAGGGGAAGAGAGACTGAGAACTACACGAGGGCTTTTCAGTCTCCATCCAGGGGAGACGCACGTCACCTCCACTCACATTTCATTGGCCAGAACTACTCATGTGGCTTCCCTTAACTGCAAGGGGGTTGGAAAATAAAGGGGAGCAAACAGGGGTGATTTGAGGGACCCAAAACAACTCCAGGCCAACACTACCACTGGCATCACCACATTCTTGTCAATGTGTCGACCGTTAGAAATGTATTCTAGTGAGTTACATGTTGGCTTCTCCCAGGGTCACTTTCATGGTGGATCAGCATAAAGAGCACATAATTTAGAAGCTAGAAGATCCAGGTTCAAGTCCCAGCTAGGTTACCTGTTGGCTGTATGACTTTGGTCAGGTTGCTTAACATCTCTGAGCCTCTGCTTTGTCGTATATAAAATGGGTTAACTATACGGATTCTGTGGAGTTACTACTGTTTTATTTTCTAAAGATCAGAAAATCATAAACCAGCACATACACAAGTTAGAGATTGAGGCTTCTCTTCATTATGATCAGTTTCATTAGACATCAAGGGTCTGGCTGGAGAGCTGTTCCTAATAACAGTAATTTGGTCACGCCTGGCTAATTTTACTTGACGTTGGCCTATTTGCCTTTAGCAGTCCTGGAAATGACCGTGCCCCTGTCTTCTCCCTGCAGGTAAACTGCCTGCTGGTTTTTACTGCAACTTCGAGGATGGCTTCTGTGGCTGGACCCAAGGTGCAGTCTCGCCCCACAGGCCCCGATGGCAGGTCAGGACCCTAAAGGATGCCTGGTTCCCGGACCACCAAGGTACTGCCACTCTCTTCCCTTCCCGCTGGTGCGCACCTGGATAGAGAGTTAGGGCTCCACCCCAGGGCAGCTGCACCTCCCCTCACCCTGCAAGGCAAGCCCAGGAGGCTGCCCAGAGCTTGCCCTGGGGTGCTCACATACAATTCCCTCTTCTGTCCTGCCTGGGTTTTAGAATGATTGAATCAGGCCAAGGTAGATGTCACCTTTTGTCCCTTAAAATGAGAACTTTGATGAAGGATTAGCTGCAAGATAAGAAAAACAGAAACAATAATAATAATCCATTCACTCAGCAAGTGTTTGCTGGGAACCTACTCTATGTCTGGCACATAATTCATGAAGAGGTAAGGAAAATGTAGCCCTCTTTATGATTGGGGAGACTGAGGCACAGGGAGACCTGCTGTCATTGGCCCCAGGGCTGTGCCTGGGAACCTTGCCCCACACCTGGGCCATTCCATACAGCCCAGGCTCCTCAGCCATGCCCCACCCCCACCCCCAGCTCAAGCAGGCAACTCCTGCCCTGCTCACGCCAGAGCCCATCCTCCCACTACCCCTGCCCCACTGCCAGAGGGGCCGAGGGCCTCCACACACCCAGAAAATGGCCACTCACACCAGGCTGAGCTGACTCCTCACCTTGAAACAAAGGCCCTGGCCTGGGGTTAGAGGGGTCTGTGAGGCCAGCACAGCTCTGAGAGTCAGGCTGCTGGAGAGGCCAGACCATCCAGCCATGTACCCGGCCTTGGGCTGTGCCGGATGCCTAGGTCTGGGCAGGCCCTGGGGCCCCCCTTCCTGCAGGATGGAGCTAGAGGGTCTCTCTCCCCTTCCCTTCCCTGCATTTGCCTGCTTTTTGTGGGGCTAGAGACCCTCATACCAAAATCCCTCTCTTTTCAAGCAAAGATCACACATCCTATGGATTCTTTTAAGAATTAATAATAATACTAATAAAAGTGTGAGTGAGGACAAAATCCAGATCGACCACTGAGGATCCCAGAGCAGCGTAATTCCGTCCCTGGTCCTCAGAACCAGCTGCATCTGAGTGCGTTGGCTTTCAGCCCCATTAGAAAGAAGCCTGAGTTATGCAGCCACAGGAGAGTTCTGCAGGCCCTCACCAGATGTGGAAGCCCCAGGGCTCCTGCTTCTCCTCCCAGCCTCCCCCTAACCCTCTCTCCACCCTCCCCCACCCCCGCCACTGCATCATCCTCAGCACCTTGTCAGTAGGAGCAGAGAAGAGAAGCAGAGCTCAAAGCTAGCCGTGAAATGTGGAAAGAGTAGAAAAGAGTGAAGGTGGTAGAGAACACCGGAGAGCAAAGAGCTGGCATGACTGGAAATGGGGAGGGGTAGCCAGTGTGCTTCAGGCTCCTCAGCCATGCCCCACCCCCACCCCCAGTTCAAACTGGTACCTCCTGCCCTCCTCACGCCAGAACACATCCTCCCACTGCCCCTGCTCAACTGTCAGAGGGGCCGAGGGCCTCCACACACCCAGGAGATGGCCACTGGTTGATGTCTGAAGCCCAGTGTGCTTCAGGCTGCTCCTGGGCTACAGGCTAAAGCTGGTGACCTTGGGAGATCAAGGATGCCACAGCCCAGACATATGGTGCTGGGATATCCCAGGCCATTTGAAATGAGACCTTTGCGTGAGCCAAGTTTTATTGACAGTGGCTAGTAGGCGGTCTTATCCACAGTAGGCAGCAGAATCCAGCATCCTCAAAGATGTTCCTAGGCTAGAGAAGAACGGTACAGAGTCCATTAACCCTGCATCCTGGGTTCCTGCAGTGCATGATGGGGGTGCATTTTTGACTCTTCCTCTCTTGCCCCAGGCCACGCCCTGTTGCTCAGCACCACGGACGTCCCCACTTCTGAAAGTGCTACGGTGACCAGTGCTACGTTTCCTGCACCCATGAAGAGTTCTCCGTGTGAGGCAAGTCCCCTTGTTCCTCTAGTTCTCTGACTTCTCCTCCCACCACTCACCTTGGGCACTTTCAGATGGACCCAACCTTCTGAGCAAAGTACCCTGGATGGTCGGGCTGCTTGTTCTCCTGGAGGGGGGACAGGAGGGCCATCTTTGCTGTCTTCCAGGCAGAGTACCCACCAACATGGTACCATCCCACCTACAGAGAATCTCACCTTAAACACTCAGACTCAGCCACACTGAACTATTTGCAATAGGAGCTAGATTTAAGCAAACCCAGAAAATAGTTTCAAGGCGTAACAGGGGAAGGTAATAGTGATTTACAAGAGACTTTCCACAGAATCCTTCTTAAAATATCAAGCTCTTGTAATACATTTTAAATTTTAAAGAACGTCACATTTTGATTTGCATAAATTTCACTAAGCCATCCACGGCATTCGGTGAGATATCTCCAAAGCTGCTTACCCAAATGGTTGCTCTAGCTGTTCCTCTTTAGTGTGAGGACTGAGGGACTGCTGCTATGTTTCTTAGCCTAAGGTCATAGTCTCTAGGGAGTGAGAAATGTGCTTAAACCCCAACATGGCCCAGTGATTAAGCTCGTGGACTCTGGAATCAACTACCCAAGTCCAGGCCAGGTTCCCCCACTGATTGGCTATACAATTTGTTTGGGCAGTTAATAACCTCTCAGGACCTCAATTTCCCCCCCTGGAAAGTGGAGACAATAAGAATTCCTACCCCAAGGAGGTGAGGATTAAACAGGTTAATATGTGTAAAGGGCTTATCACAGCGTCTGGCACGGAGTAGGCACTACTGTAGTTAGCCAGCAGTGCCTGGCACCCTGTATCAACATACGAAAGCAGAAGGGAGGATATGAGGACCAGCCAAAACTCAGACTCTGCACTCTCAGAGGGCTGGGCCACGCCTGTGCTGCTTTGCATCTCCCCATGGCACTGCATCAACATCTTGCAAGTAGTAGAAAGCCAACACATAGGTTAGATCTGGCCAGTCCTCTCTTTCTGGAAACTCACAGGAGAAATTCCTTTCTGGCTTCGTTTTAAGGATAGCTATCTGCCCTCTGAGCAATTTCTTTTCTTTCATGTTGTGGACAGTATGAAACTGACTGGATTCGCTTCCCCTTCGCTGCCTGGTAGAAACCCCGGGAGGGGGGCTTTGACCAGCAAAGGTGCAGAAACAGGCTTTCCCTGCTAAGGGGCGCAGGCCAATTCAAGCCCTTCAGGCTCTTTGTGAGTAAAAACTCACAGATGTAAATAAGAATGGAAAAGATGTATCAATGAATTTTTTTAATCAGAAGAATGGCCAAATTAAATCTGAGTCTCCCCTTTTGGTAAGCAAATCAGGGTTCAAGATGTGCCGTTTGTAGCAGCCTCACTCCTGGTTCCATTTTCTAACTCAACATTGGCCCCGTCTTTCTGACCCTCTTCTAGTTTATCTGAATGGATTTTATGTATCTCTGTGAGCCACCTTAAATCCTTTTTGGAAGAAGTCAGGGCACAAATAAATAGATTCATTACATTAAATTGTATTTGAGAAACCACGCTGTCTGATGCAGATGGTGGAATTGCACAGTCATCGCTGATATTTCTCAGGTGCCTCAGAGCAGGCACCTAGAAAGGAAGGCTTCTCAACGAAAATCTAAATGAGGAGAGAGGGTTGGCCCAGCTGAGAGGTTTGGGGGTTGGGGGGGGATCCTTAAAAGCATTTGATCTTTAAATTTACTCTTCACTGGATTTAATATGAGCCTAATTTCAGGAAAAGAAATGTCAAGGTAAAAATGATATTTTTCTAATACTTCATCATTTCTCTAATAACCTTTGGGTTGATCAATAGCTTACAAAGGTGTTGTGCTTTACTGGCCTGTTTTATTTTTCCTCCAGTGCAATTTGCTCTGGGCTATTTCTGCTATTTCCTGCCCTTTTCCAGAACTTGGCTCGGCAGGAGTGATGAAGGAAAGGCAGTGAGTCCGTTCCACTCTCAGCTCACAGCAATTTCACATTCAGGTTTTCAGACCATTCATCTAATGCCGATGGGTCTTTGAATTCCCAGTGTTGGGGGAAATGTTTCCATCAGAAAAATAAATAACCAAAATAGAAATATGCATTTCCAGGTTTGTAAGCCAGCCATTTATTTCATTGAGATCCTAAATGCAGAAGGCAGGAAGTTGATTTCCTTCTCCCAGGTTGGCTGAGCGTCGGTGACAGGGAAATGGATGTTGTGTTGCTATGTGAGACTGTGTGAGGTTAACTTAGGGCCTTCAAACCCCACCAACCTTAAAGACGCCCAAGTGCAGGAAGGTGGACACTAGACAGAACCGTGGGTAAAGGTCTCTGATGAGGGTCAGGCCCATAGGGACTGGTGGCTGGCCAAGCTGAGCTCCAGGGCTAACACCCACCACCGAGTGTCTTCTCTACACCCAGACCAGTCCTGGTCCATGGGACCTCTAGGAAGTTGAAATAATTGCAGAATATCTCAAAATGGTTCCTCAAGAAACCCTACAATCGTCAGTTTATCTGACGATTCCCATAGTGGATTCCCATAGGGGAACTGGTGTCACCTTTGATGCATTTCCTTGAAAATTTAGCTACAACCTAACTAGTAGGTCTGTGCTTCTCCAGTTGCAGTCGCTTGGAAAATGTAACAAATGCAGGTTCTTGGGCCCCACCCCAGATATCCTGGATGACATTACTGAGTGGGGCCCAGGGAATCTGCATTTTAAACTCCATCCTCCATGATTTGGATACAGAATGTAACTTGAGAGTAATTAGCCATAGGTGTACTTGCCAATTGTGACCGAAATTCATTCTGAGCCCATGCTGAGAGCTTTCCTCCATTACCTGTGGTCCCAAATAGTGTGATGTAACTTACTTTTAGAAAGATGAGTAAGAGAAGAGGTTAGAACTGACGGGGTGGGAGAAGAGGCAGAGGAGACAGAAAGGACTGGGAGAGCACCCTCAGAGCCCACATGGAGCCAGGTCAAATGCCCAGTGACAATGGAGACATGGCCAGGGTGAGCCTTTGCGCCAGTCAGCTTCCAGGGCATTACAGAAGTATGCTAACCTCAGCCTCCTCCCTCTAGGCTCCTGCTTCCACCAAAGACCAGCTGCCTCTCCCTGGCTGGCCGCAGTGCAGGCACTGCCTCTTCCATCGCTCTGCACAGTTGCATATGGGGCATGAATATTTAAAGACCTCTGCCTGGCCCAGCCACAAACCAGAGCGGGTGTTGTGGGGTTTAGTTAATGCCCCCTCCTCCCTACAAGCTATTCTCTGTGGGAAACCGGGGAAGCCACTACAATATATTCAGATTTTATTTTATTTTTATTCTTATTTTGCTGAGCTCCAGTTCAAATAATTACAGTTGCCACCGGGGAGGGGAGCCTCGCGGTGGCTTTCATGTGTTCACTTGCTGTCAGACCTGCTCTGCTCGCGGCTGCCTCGGCTGGGAGACACACTCGGATGTGTCTAGCATTGCAGCTGCTGGTGATAAAGAGCAGGGGCGAGTGGCTGGGGCCGTCTCCGCCCCTCCCCCTGCCTTTCACACATCCAGAAGCCTGAATGTCTCAACAAGCCCCGTGTGGTTTGAAATTCTATTTTATTTGAATAGCCTGCCTGTGACTAGAATAATTTAAACCATGTTCTCAGGACAGAACAAGGCCTCGGGGGAAAAAGTGGGCTTCTCTCATTTTCTTTCCCACTCCAAAGCGTAGAAGCAGTTTTCCTTCTATGAGGTGCATGGAAGGGACCCAGGAAGTGGGATGTGACCCACTTCATTGGTGGTGACACCCTAGGGCAGGTCACTTCCCAGCTGCTGGTTTTCTGACCTTGCTGGAGCTGCAGCCACCTCTGTCCTCTCCCCAGATGTGTGTACAAAGACACAGATATACAACCACACTGGGATCCTGGAACACAGCCTCAGAGGTTGCCTTGCTGCCTCTGACGCCAGCCCTGTAGGTATGAAAGGGTCGGCTTAGATTAGCTGCTGGGGGCTGCGGAAATCCGGGCAGAATGTGACCAGCAGGGCTCCTCTGTGTCGGAGGGGGCTATCTGGCCTGCCTGGAAGGAGACCTCCCCTCGGCATCATTAAAACCAGCAAATATGGCCCAGAGGGACGTGGGAGATCAGCTTAGCATCTGGACTTGTCCTCTGCCATCCCTTAAGCCCTGCTCAAAGCCCCACTGAGAAGGAGCCCCAAGGTGGCAGGCCCCGGAGACTGGAGGCCAGGGAGTTTTCCAGCAAATTGTTCTCTGGTTGATTTTGTTACAGCTTGTCAGGGTGCTGGTGTGGTTCCTGGACAAAGGGCCCATCCTTTCCTGGGGATTAGGCGGGTGGGGGGTTCTCCAGCATCTCAGTATCACTCAGAAGCAAAATAGGTAAGAGTCATGGCTGCGTTGATGGGGCTTATTCCAGCTGGCCCCGCTCCCTCCCTGTGGGCAGACAAATAGGGCTTTCAAGATAAGAAAGAAGGAGGAACTTTTATGACTGCTGTGTTTTAACAGTTTATTACACTCAGTGGCAAAATTTCTTAAGAAAAGGAGGATAAGAGTAATAGTAATTATTACAGGATGGCTTGAGGTAGAGGAGAAAACAAAAGCAGAAAGTTCTTGCTTTATCAGCCGCCACCAAACCCTTGATAAGGGGGGGCCAAGGCGGTAGAGCTAGAATCTTCTATTCAGCTCACTTTAGGGAGCAGATCCTACATGTCATAGGCTTCCGTGCCCACGATGGGATAGGGGGGCAGGTCGAGGAGCATGCTGGGCTGCCCAGGGGATGGGAGCAGCCCATCTGGGCAGAGCAGGAAAGAAATGTCGCAGAAATGCACAACCACTAAACATAAAATCAAGATCAAACTTAGACCTTATGACTCCGAGCCTCATGCTCTTTCTATCACACTGGCCTGCCCCTGCTAGCGGGGTGGGGGGAGCTGACACAGGCGACACAACAGAGGGTACCTCCTCAGCTTCAGGGGAGTCGATGTGGGCCACAAAAGCATCCCTGAGTCCTGACATCGCTCTCACCTAACCCAGAGCCCCCACCTCACCCCTCCTCAGATTCTTCATCTCAGGAGGCAGGAAAGAAATACCGCCCCATTTTGTAACAGACCAGTTGCCCACTTAGTCTCTCCTCAGGCCAGGACTAGTCACTGGGTCTAATTCCTGAGCAGCTGAGGGGACAGTGCTCCTCACCTACGGACTCAAATGTTATTTGTGCCTTGTGTGAGCCTTATTCTAAGCTCCCAGTGCTCTCACTTATTTCAGCAAATCAGGCAGGAAATGCTATTTCAAGAGGCCTCGTGGCCTTGATCCTGAATAGGGTTGTTGTTTCCTGGATCCAGTCCACCTTCTGTGTAGAACATGTGCCCATCTGTGGAGAAGGAAACTGCACCCTTCCTCTCTCCCTACTCACCCTTTCTCCCCTGTGTCACAGCCAACCTCTGACCAGTAGAAGAACAAGCAGTCCCTACCAGGGTCCACCTGGGAGCCTCTGCCCTAGTATGACCAAGCAATGCTGCACAAACACCTTGAGGTGGCTGTAGAAACCCTCTTATAAATAGTTAGGGGCGAGTGCCAAGCTAGGGAGGATTCCAGGGTCCCATCATCCCTAGCTCCCCGCCAAAAGCCTGAGCACCTTTGCTCAGATATTTCAGGACAGGACATCTAACCCTATCTCATTGAATGCCATGGCATCCACTGCAGTGACAGAATGCTCACTGACTCTCAAGGTAGTCCAGCTCACCTTCAATAACTCCAGGCTTCAGTGCATGCCTGAATTAGGAGTAAATCCAGCTAGACTTTCCAGAGGTTGTTTTCACACTCTGTCCTCTGCACCGCCCCTCTTCCTGCTTTGGGGACCTTCTAAGAACCAGGAGCAGGACCCCAGGCTAACTGTGTGACATCCAGCTGGGTTGTCCACTCTCTGCCCAGGAAGACATAATGATCTACTGCCACTGTTACTATTATTATCTGACTTTTGTGATGATTCCAGGATCAAAGGCTAATGGAGCCTGCCCTATCCAAGCATCCTGAATCTGGAAATTTGGCCTCTGCTCTGCCCTGGATGACCCAGCAGTAGGGGGATGGGCAATACTGCCCAGCTCAATGACTGGGGTCTGAGAAAGCTAATGTTCTACCAGCAGCAGATGGGCCCCTGTCATGGCCCTCCCATCCCCACCAGCTCCTCTTCCATTCCCACTTGTGTCCCAGCAGCAGACACCTAAAGAAATGATATTGTCACCCTTTTATAAATGGGGAGAGTAAGGCTCGGGGGAGCCTGCGATCACGCGCAGCTGGCCAGCGGTGCAGCGGAGTGTCCTTAAGACACGAAAGCATCTCTTCAGGAGAACTCCTGTGAATGGAACAGTGGCAGTAAATGAGGGGACGACCGGAGAAAGGAGAGGAAGGCCAGATGAAGGGAACTGAGGCGGGTGGAGTCTGGCGAAATGACCCACAGCAGAACATCACAAGCCTGACTTTTCTTTTAAAAGCCCTTTTTGTAACTTTAAAATGAATGCCAATTATGTATTTTATTCCCTAACATCCGTGTTTGTTTGAATACAAAAACACAACTTATTACCGTCATCCCTCTATATCCACGAAATTTCAATCCACGGTTGGTTGAATCCACAGATACTGAAGGCCAACTGCAGATTCTGAGGGCCGACCGTATTCCCTGTACTGGGCCGTTTTATGTGAGGGGCTTGAGCTTCTGCACATTTTGGTAACCTCAGGCAGTCCTAGAACCAATCACCCTGCAGATACCAAGGGATGACTTGACTTAATTTTGAGTGGCTAATGTTCCAGGAAGATACACCCCATTTACCCTGCGGCTTTGGGTACCCCCAGGAGGATCTAGGAGTAGGCACCCTAGTTTAAGAAGCCCAGAGAAGAGCTCCAGCCCTCACTGCCTTTCTCTGAAACCCAAATCTTCCCCAGCTTGTGTGATCTCACTCCATCCCCCGTGGTCATCATTAGGCCCCTAGATGATGCATTTTGAAGAGTATTTGCCCTGCCTTGGTCACCCCTAAAGCCAGCCTCAACTATGGCTTCCCTCCCCACCCTGTGAGTCACTCTGACTCTGAGGCTTGTATCTGAAGCCCCAAGAGGGCCTTAGCTCCGGCAGCCACTAACACCCCGGTGATGGAGACAGTAATCTCAGAAAGCCTTTGCCTGGGGCCTAAGCATGTGCTACTTCACATGGGAGGGGAAGGAGGAGGAGGCTGGAAGTGGTTCCTGAGGCATTTCCAAGTGCCTTTTCCAAAGACCCACTGGATGAGTAAGAGATTTGGGGCCCCACTTTCAGTCCCTAATGACGCCCATCCTGCACACCTATAATAACGTCACCATAATTAGAATCCCCTATACATATGTCAAAGATTGCAGCGCCTATGCACCTCCCCACAGTCACCCTGTGAGGTAAATGAAATCTTTCCTGTTCTGCAGAGGAAGAAAGAGCCTCAGAGGGCTAGGAGATGCCCCAAGGTCACAAGTTAAGGCATGTAGAAACCAGGATTCAAATCCTGGTCTCCTGACTTAATAGGTAGCTACTCAGCCACTCCCTCAGGGGAGTCAGGGGTGGCACCCTAGGATGTGAAGGGTGGGCAGCTGCCGGGTAGGGACCAGAGAGGCAGGATGAAACTTGGCTGAGCAGGCATGCAGATGCCTGGCCTGGCAGGAGAGGTGAGGGAGGGAAGAGTACAGTGGGCCTCAGTTAGGCGGTGAGCCAGCAAGTACTCATTTCAAACCCACCATGTGGCCAGCCTTGCCGGAGACAGACTGCAGGAATCTGGGATCTCTTTAGGGAATTTATTCAACAGAAAAGTTAAGAAAACTTATTTTCAGTACTACAGGTCCTGGTCTCCAAGTTACTTATAGAGTGCTCAGCTGCATTGCGTTAAAAAGCAAGCCAAGATTCCTAACTAGAGCCCTCAAACACCCTAACTCCGCACTCCTGGGAGCAAGAAACCTTCCCTTAGTCTGGGGCTGAGGGAAGGGACCCTTTGTAATTGTAAAGCCAACTAAGAGAGTATTTTTAAAATACCAAATCCCTTCTGTGTAGCTGGCACTCTGCTAAGCAGTTCACATCCACGATCTCGTTACCAAAACAGGCTTGTGAGGAATTGTTACCCCCACTTACCGATGCAGAACCTGGGACTCAGAGAGCTCAAGTGACATGCCCAAGGTCATCCTGCTAGTGAGGGGCAGAGCCAGGACTCAAACTAGGTCTGTCCAACTCCACAGCCAAAGCTGCAAACACTCTAGGGTCACTAGAGCTGACTTAGGTCACCCAAGTTTGAATCCCAACTCTGCCACTTATGAGCCATAAGAACTCAAGCAAGTCACTCTCCATAACCGGGATAAAAACACCTGTTTTACTTGCTACGTGAGGCTGTTTCAAGGATCAGATGAAAATACAAAAACTCTTTGTAATCTCTACAAGATTTTATGAATGACAACACATTGTTATTATCCCTCTTCTTTGCACAGGCATAAAGATGTCACTGCCAATGTAATTTCAGACACTGGGTGTGCTCTTGCTTCTCCTCTCAATCAGCAACATGTGGGCAGGACGGAAGCACTGTTTTGCATGGTGCCTAGCATTAATGTCCAGGAGGACATGCCCAATGAACCCGCTTAATCAATAATTAATTAATTAGTTGGGCAGCCCCTTAATTGTAAGCATAACCCTGGTCCAGGATAAGAGCTAACAAGGAGATTTCTCATTGATTCTCAAGGATCCAATGAACACAACCCTACTGAGATTTCTGAGCCAAAATAATTTTTACCTCAGTACCTAGAGCTGAGAAGCCCCTGGCATCTCGCATTCTGTCACCACTTACTGTGATGTAGTTGATGCTGCCCGGACACATGCTAATGGGCTAAAGTAATCAACAGCAATTGTAATTACAGTCAGACATAATTAATTTAATACCTTTGAGCCATTCAAAATTAATACCTCTGCCATTACATGATGAAACTGAGGCATATGAAGATTTACTGTCAAAGCTCAGGGGTGTGAATAAAACCCTACTGGGCGCTTGGCAGAGATTTGGGTCACGTTCAAAATCCACATGTTAATCATGGACCCCCGTGGCTCCCACTGGTGGTGATCACTATAACACGTTTGGGCGGCTCATATATGGGAGGACACCCTGTTGAAAGCACAGACTCTCCCCAGCTGTCGGAGAATAATTACTGCCTGGGTGGCTATGGGCCCTGTAGACACTCGTGTGCCCGGAGTCCATTCTTTTTCCGATGGTTTCTGTGAAGGTTGTAGGAGTTTCACTGCAAAGAGTTGATCCTGTTCCCCAGCCAGAGGATTACAAAGCTATTTCTCAGCAGTGTCCCCATCACACACAGAGAAACTGAGGCACAGAGGAGATTGTGTGCTCAAGATCACCCCATTATAATGTAACTCAAAAGAAAATGTCAGCCTTGTCTTCCCATAAGACTGGAAAGACAATTCTCTGGAGAACCTGGAAGATAAAACACTGGACTGAAATTTTTAATACAGCCTTCACCCTGTCCTATTCTTGTTTGTGTGAGCTGTTTATCTCTGATATGGTGTCCCCTGCCCGCTCTTTCCAGTACAGGAGGAAGGAACTAACATTGATCGGATGTGTTTGGTAAGCTGAGCACGGGGCTCACATAATCTTATTAAAGTCCCCCAGTAACTCTATTTGGAGAGTACGATGAGCCCCATTCTGCAGATGAAGAGTGAGGCCCTGAGATAGTGTGTCCTAAGGAAAGACAGCCCCTCTCTTTCTGATTTCAAAGCCCTTGCTCTCTCCACAGCATGATCCCGCCTCATTCCCCAGAGGCTTCCACCTTCCCTCGGTCTTTCTCTCAAAGGTTCAGGCTAGAGAACCTGATCCTCCCTGAAGTGAGTAAAAGCACAACACTCTCTTTTCCCACTTTCCAACGACATCAGAATCCCCCTCGCTGCCTTTTCTAATACAGCATTTATTGTTTTTTCTGATTACAAAAGTCTCTATGTTCATTGTAGAATATTAGGAAAATAAAAGAAAGTGTGAAGAAGAAAATTGAAATTGCCCGTAGTCTTACCCCCCGCAAAGATAACTCCTATTACCATGTGGGTCCATTTCCTTCCAGACAGATAAATGTAGATTTGAGCAGAGTGATAGATAGTTTATACAAATTTGGTATCATACCATATAAGCATTTTGTGTCCTCTTTCCTTATTTAATATTATATTTTCCTGTATCAATATTATTCTTCATAAACATGCTTCTAATAGCTACATACTCTAAACTTCTTTTTTTTTTTTTGTTCTAGTTATCAAAGGTAATAGATGTTCATTGTAAAAAATGTAGAAAAGACCAAAGAAGAAAAAATACCTGTAACTCCACAACCTCACCAGCCAGGGATCCTATGGTTATTATTTTTATATGTAATCCTCATATATAAAATTCTCAAAAATC